TACAGGCCAGCAAAAGCATATTAACGCGAACTCACAAGTTCGAGATACTCCAGTAGCAATCAAAGCTTTGGACCATAATTTGATATCTCGGGAGCTTTAAAAAAAGTCCAGGGACTTGCGAGAGCATTTCATCAGCGCTCCAAAGATCAAAGCCTCGTCTCTCGACATTACAAATCTATTCCATGGATTGGATGTCTCTCGGGGGAGCAAATATGTTCCCTACAATAGCTCTATTTGTTCTAAGTTCCAATCGCTCCAAAAGAAAGTATAGCTTGGAAGGAAGCCTTCTTTATAAAGTACTACAGCCTTACATTATATTTTCCTTCCTGCCTTCCACTCCCGCAGTGTTGATCATGCCACGAATGATCCAGCTGGACGGCAGTGATGCAGAAGATCCAAGTGCTTTAACTGCTACACCTGGCGGCATCTCTGACCGTCCATTGCACGATAGCATTTTTTAAATAATCGTTCTAAGCAACAAGGAAGCCTTTGTGCTGTGTGGCGCTTTGCGGGAGGAGGACGAAGGCGCGTTCTCGCTGTTGGCGCCGTGTTCGTGAGCTCTGCCGCGCCTCCCCCGACGGTGAGTCTGCCGATGGCGAAGATTTCGTGAATGATCTCCTGCGGGATCTGCATTGCTAGGGTTGTGGCGTGCCGTGGATCCGAGCATTGGCGCCGCTCGATGGGATTCGCGTGCCTGTGAGGCGGATTTGCGAGATTATCGGCGCCAGGATGAAGGACAGGGAGATGAAGCTCAATGTGGAGAAGAAGCAGCAAAGATTCGTGCCGCTGGCGTTCATGGTGATCTCGCTGTGCGCGATCTCGTTCTACCTCGGCGGCGCCTTCAGCTCTACCAAGGCGCGCGTGATTCAAGTCACGAGCGGCGGCCCCGCCTCGAAAGATCCGATCAGTATCCAGTTAACCAAGGCGGATTGCTCCAGCGCTTTCAAGCAGGAGCCATTCCCAGAGTGTAACATCACATTCCAAGATGTGACGCCTTGCACCAATCCACTGGTACGTTATCTTCCTTTTTCTCTCCCTTGTTCTTTCTTTTACTTAATACTAAATGGGTGTGGCCGCAGCGATGGAGGAAATTCGATAAGCACCGCATGGCATTTCGCGAGCGGCATTGTCCTCCAACGTCCGAGAGGTTTCAGTGCCTAGTTCCTCCGCCCGATGGATACAAGGTTCCTATCAAATGGCCGAAGAGCCGAGACGAATGCTGGTATAAGTACGTCCGTCTTCTTCTTTTTTGTCTTTGGTTTTGGTTGCTCAAGCCTTGTTGTTTTGATGGCTAGAAACGTTCCATTCGAATGGATCAACTCGGAGAAGGCTAACCAGAATTGGCTTCACAAGAGTGGGGAGAAGTTCATTTTTCCGGGTGGAGGAACCATGTTTCCGAATGGAGTGAACGAGTATTTGGATCAGATGGAGGAGCTGATTCCTGGCATGAAGGATGGATCGGTTCGAACAGCATTGGATACTGGTTGCGGGGTAAGAGGAGAAAAAACGCATTCTCGTAAGCCTTAACAGTCTTTTTCCTTTAAACTTTCAGGTGGCAAGCTGGGGTGGAGCTCTGCTGGATCGTAACATCATAACCATGTCACTGGCACCAAGAGATAACCACGAAGCGCAAGTTCAGTTTGCTTTGGAGCGGGGTATTCCTGCAATCTTGGGCATTCTTGCGACCCAGCGCCTTCCTTTCCCGGCCAATGCTTTCGATATGGCACATTGTTCGCGATGTCTGATACCTTGGACAGAGTTCGGTAAGCCGATACTAAAGCTTCTCGTGTTTTCAACGGACATGCTTCTCTTACAGGAGGAGTTTTCCTTTTGGAAATTGACCGTGTGCTGCGTCCTGGTGGTTTTTGGGTCCTTTCTGGTCCGCCTGTCAACTACGAGGTGCACTGGAAAGGATGGGATACCACAGAAGCGAAGCAGAAGGCCGATCTGGACGCCATCAAGGGCCTACTCAAGAAAATGTGTTACACCCTGTATGCGATGGAAGGTGATATTGCTGTGTGGCAGAAGCCTGTGGATACGACTTGCTACGAGAGTCGAGAGCCTTTGACGCATCCTCCAATGTGCGACGATAGCATTGAAACCGACGCTGCTTGGTAAGTCACCATATTTTCTTGTTCTCTCACGGAACTAAATTGCTTCGGTTGAAAAGGTACGTGCCAATCAGAGCGTGCATCGTTCCCCAGCCATACGGTGCGAAAGGCCTCGCAGTTGGTCAAGTTCCAAAATGGCCACAGCGGCTGTCCAGTTCGCCAGACAGGCTCCGATACATCTCGGGTGGCAGCGCCGGCGCTTTCAAAATTGATTCGCGCTTTTGGGAGAAGCGCGTGAAGTACTACAAGACTCTCCTTCCGGAGCTGGGCACAAACAAGTTCCGAAACGTCATGGACATGAACACAAAGTATGGAGGCTTCGCAGCAGCTCTGGCGAACGATCCCGTCTGGGTGATGAACACTGTCTCCTCCTACGCAGTGAACTCCTTGGGCGTTGTTTACGACCGAGGTCTCCTTGGCACACTGCACGACTGGTAAGTATCGATCTATTTCTCTTACTGCTGAAGCTTACCAAAACTCTTTCTCAGGTGCGAGGCGTTCTCGACGTATCCACGAACGTATGATCTTCTCCACTTGTCCGGCCTCTTCACTGCCGAGAGCCACAGGTATGCGAGAGGGAGAGCAGCAGCTCTGATTCAGATACTGATACTTCTATCACAGGTGTGAGATGAAGTTCGTGATGCTGGAGATGGATCGCATTCTCAGGCCGGAGGGCCACGCGATCATCTCCGACTCGCCAGAGTTCGTGGAGAAGGCGGAGATCATCGCTCGGGCAATGCGGTGGGACTGCACTCGATACGACAGTGCAAAGAATGGCGAGGACCCGGTTCTCATCTGCCAAAAGGAGCTGTGGAAGGCATCACCTGCATCCGACAGTGACGTGATTGAGTGAAAGAGTAGTAGGCCGCGATTCGTTGGGCGTTGTAATCGAGCGCAGTGGCGACGGCCACGCCCCAAAATTTTGTCAAAGTTGTATTAACTGCTTGGAATTGGTTTCTCTTAAACTTGAGTCGTTGACTTTTGTAAGCTTTAATATGACTTTTATGTTGACTTTTTCTACTAGAACGTTTGATCCTTGACTGCACTTGCTATGGCAATCTCAGCAAGAAGAGAATGAAACCGCAAATGCGCCTCCCGTTAAACACCATCCGGAGAGAGAGTGAATCAGGATGGTGTTTAACGGGAGGCAAGCTTTGCTATCTCAGCAAACTTTGAACTGTAAAGGATAAGTACAAAGCCACAAACACAGACAAAATGGAGAACGTACTAGCTCGAGACCCTCTTACAGTTTCTTAGAACTGCAAAGACCTGCTCCAGTCTACAGTCTCATTTTTTTCGGACAAACGTACCCCTGCAGCAATGAAGTTTAAGCAACAATCAGCTAGCAGAAACAAAAAAACGCCACTAGATACCTTTGCTCTGCTCGGCTGCCACCTTGCCAATCTCTGGCCACGACAGACCACTCCCTGAAAGAGCCTTCAACCCTGAAAACATAGAGCAATGTGAGCGATCAGTGCTGCATTCATCAACGTACCTGAGAAGCATCGAGTCATCCCCCGAGCGAAGAAGGCATTGCGATACCGGCTAGCACAAACTTGCTTCATCTTCTCACTGGGTGTGTTGATATTTGCCACAGCAGTGAAGTCGAGCTCCACACTCAGGAGCTTTTGCATGATAATTTCAGCCTTGCTTCTCTTCTCGAGCCAATCCCATTTCAGGCTCTGAGAATCAAACATTAGTATCCCTCTCCCCCACACTGCAAATGTAAGACTGCCCACCGTACAGCACTCCCCTAATAAATACGCCTGTTTCCTGATTAGGAAGGATGACACTTCGTTCCACGTCCAATTCCCCCTATCCAACACCAACACTCTAAGTCCACCAGACGCGACCTCCACAAGCACCCCGATTTCGCCTCCAACTTCCAGCATGTAAGACTTGTAAATCCCAACTTCTTTCATACACCAAGCGTGCACCCACTTGGCGGAGTTAATGGCTGCCATATCGTCGATCTCCAGCAGCACCAGCGCACCGTGCTGCCAGCACTCCCCGAGGCGATAGCACACGCCCCCAACACAGACCGTGTTGGAGGACAGCATGGACACGGTCTGGTACTGCGGCACCGTCCAAACGCCCAGCCTCGAGTCGAACACATACGAGTTTAGCCAGATCCGGAAGAACACCACCCCCTCATCGCTAGCATACGTTGTCAGCATGCAGGAACAGATGTTAGCTTGAACCCCAGGAACAGATACCCATTGCTGCGTCAGCGGATTTCCCACCAGGAAGCCTTGCTTGTTCATGAAGGTCTTTCGCTCCATGAACCGGCACAAGACGAGGCCACCGTGAGAGACCAAAGGCTGCGAGTTTTGTGGTGCTAGCCACTGCTTCCAGCCGGGAGGGACGTGCTTCAGCCTCGTCACCTTCCCTTTGTGCTTGAAGATCGACACAAAAGGGCCCCTGTAGTGGTACCGTGTTTGCAGCCTGCTCGTTTTCCTGTTCACTCCGTGATGCAGCAGGAGGAGCGTCTTTGCTGTGTTGCGGCCGTGTTTCCGCCACAGCGCCTTGAAGCGTGAATCGCCGCGCAGCAGCGCAGCCCAGGCCTTGCACACCAGCTGCGCCCGCACTGCATCGCGGGCTGACAGCCACGAGAGGATTTCCAGCTCCAAGTCCGGTGACAAGCTGGTCATTGCCCGATCTGGTCAATAGTCTTTTATATAATCTAATATGTCTGATTGATTTGCGGGGTGATCTTTTGAAAAACGATTTCTCGACTTGTGCCTGTCACCGGGCTATGTAAATCTTCTCTGTATCGTTCTTGGTGTCTCCCAAAAGACTTTGAAAAGGATTAGAGTTATACTAGATTTTAGAGTTTTATATAGATTATTTAGCTGACATATACTAGATTATCTTTTAGGGTTATTTAGTTAGATGAGGTTCATTCGTCTCTTCTCCTGTGAATGCTCTCGGTTCAGCTGCGCATCGCCAATGTGGAGGATGAGTCGGAGAATCCGTTCATTTGCGAGCTCGGCGAGCCTGGATGGCCACTCCGACTCGAGGAAGTGAGTGTGTTTAGATGAATGGATCTTTTAAGCTGCGATTTTTGTTTGAAGGAAGAAGAAAAGGAGATTGGATGAGCTCTGCGTGGAAAGATATCCTCAGTTCGCGCGGAATGTGGTACAATCCTGGATCATACAAGGCAAGGCAACGGTCGTTTCTTCTTCTTCTTTGTTTTTTCCGTGTGTGTGGGTGTGTGGTCTTTCTTATTCCAGTGTTTTTTTTTTGAACAATGGAAGAGTGTTTCCGTGTGTCCAGGGAAAGTTTTCGTGGATGGCAGGCCAGGAACAAAGTCTGGGATGCAAGTCGCGGAAACATCAGCAATCGAAATCACAGCCCAGCCTCCAAAATACGTTTGCAGGCACGTCTTATTCCTTTTTTTCTTCTGTTTTTTTTCTTAGTCATAAAGGAAATGACGATCAATCCAGGGCTGGAGACAAGCTCGCAGCAGCGCTTGAGCGATTTGGGTGTGATTTAAATGGTAAAGTGGTGCTCGACTCGGGGCTCTCCACCGGAGGCTTTACTGACTGCATGCTACAGCATGGTGCCACGCGAGTGTATGGAGTCGACGTTGGCTATGGCCAAGTAAGTCTTTGTGTTTCTTTGGAAGGGAAAAAGGAAAGCGCTAACTTGGATTAAACTCTCTCAAGGTTGCGGAGAAAATTCGAACCGATAAAAGAGTTCGCGTCATGGAGAGGACAAACTTACGTCTCTTAACTCGGCTACCCGAGATGGTAGACTTCGTCACTCTGGATTTGTGCTTTATCTCGGTTTTGTTGGTGAGATTCTCGCAGTTCCAGCAATTTAGAGGATTGACAAGCTTGTTTTTCCTTTTTCCAATCTTAGGTGATGCCTGCCGTGTGCTCGGTGATGAAGCAGGATGCGAGCGGCGTAATTCTCATCAAGCCACAGTTTGAAGCGGCCAGATCTCAGGCGAGTCTCTCTGTTTTAAGCGTAAGCAGGCGTATCATCGTTTTTTCTCGCAGGTTGGCGGTGGTGGGATCGTGAGAAAGCCCGAAGTTCACAGAGAGGTCTGTAGCAAAATGGAATATTTATATCTTTGCTTGACCTCTTTTTCTCTTGCTTTTGTGTGTAGGTTCTTGAGAAGGTCATAGATGGTGTTGAGGAGTTTGGCTTCGCTTGCAAAGGCTGGATGGAATCCCCAATCAAAGGCACCGACGGCAACACAGAGTTCTTGGCATACTTCCACAGGATGACTAAACAAACACCAGCGCAGGTTCATCGTGGTATCTAACACTCGCTTGCTGATTATCTTTTTTTCTTCTTCTTCTTCTTCTTGCGCAGGAAAAACGCGAATTTGTTGCAAATAAGTCAAAGAGTTACTACTTGGATCTTCTTGAACGCAAGGGATCTTAATTCTCTTTGGAGCAACGGAAGATTCTGTACAAGAACTTTGTTTCATCTTTGCAAAGTTTGGGTTTTTTTCTTCTGGAGATCAAAATCTATTCTAAATGCTAGACGTGAGCACATAAGCAGTAGCATTCTTGTGGTCGACCTCAAAATGTGGCAACATAATCAAAGCACCGGAATTTTGTCTCTTGGACGGTTCTAATGTTGGTGAACGACAGAATGATGGTCTTGCAGCTTCTCTCGAATGCAGTGCTTCGAAGGAGAGTCACAGATTCCAAGCTCTCGGGCTTCCGTAGCAGTGATCCAGGCTGCAGCGGACAAAGCAGCCTTGGCAGCGGAAAAAACGCTTGCGAGAGAGCATGCTCCAAGGAGTTCGTCCAAACGCCCGATGCAGATGCAGAGCCAGTTTGGTAGTTTGCGAACCAGATTGACAAGCGGATGGTGGAGAGCCTTGAAGTGACTTGGATGTCCACAACAGCTGACAGCAATGCTGCTGAATAAATAAAATTGCTGCACGTTGTATTGTATGGTTTGCTTTTTTTATAAAAAAAACATTATTATGATAATTAATTTGTTATGATCTATTCCTGCTTTTGTATTAGTTTCTTATTACGTGTATTTTTTTTTAATTATCTGTATGTATCCTTCTTTCTCCATTATTGTTTGAAATGGTTTTGCTTCTTCTTTTTGATAGTTAATATTAAAACCTCCTGTAATTATTATTGGATTTTTATTATCTATTTTAAATATATTTTTGTAGTTGTTTTGTGAATATTTGTATATTTGTTACAGGTTTTCTATGTAAATTTATTATCTGTAATTGTTTTTTTATTTTTTTCTAGTGATGTATATGACATTGCCATTGTTTCTGTTTTTAAATGTTCTACTTTTTTCTATTTATAGCTATTTGTATGCAATATTGCTATATGTGGGGGCCATTCATGTATATATGATTTATATTTATTAAAATATAAATCCTCATGTTTTTGTGTTTTTACTTCTTGCATATATATTATATCTGATGTTATTAATTGTGAATCACTCTTTATATCTTCTTGATGTGTGGTAATAGATGTTGTGTTTGAAACTTGTATAAAAGTTTGGTTAGCTGTTTTTTTCTTCTTGTAAATATATTAAATCAATTTGCCATGGTGCTTCTATTGTCATTTGTATTATTTCTTTACCTGCATCTTTATTGATTTTAATATGTTTATATTCAATTGGTCTATATAAATGTATACCTTTTAGTGTTTGTGCTCTTGATAATGTTGTATATGCTTGTCCTGGAGGCTTTACTTATAACATAAAACAATTTAGTACTATTTATTATTCTTGTTTTTTATTGGTGTCTAGTTTTTTTCATTATTTTAGTATTATATTTTCTTTAGCTCTTGTTTTTCACCTGTTTCTATATTTTGGAATTCTATCCATATTATTTGTTTTTCTTCAATCTGGGTTACATATTGTAATACTCCATTTGCTCCATTTACTAATGCATCTTCTGTTGCTATATTTTGTGTTATTTCAATTGCCATTTTCCTTTTAAAATGTAATATTTTATGTAGTCCTTGTGTTTTTCTTGTGTCATCTAATAACCTGAAATGTGTAGCACAAGAATTTCCATGGTTGTCTTGTGCTTCTATAATTATATCTATACTTTGTATGTGTTGTGTTATGTTCACTTACTTGTTCATTAGTTTCAAATGTATGGAAACATCATTTTCAGGTCTATATATTTTTGTTGCATAAATTGATGTTTCAAATGTAAGATTTAATTGATAAAAATAACCTATAAAAATACAATCCATCCCACCAAAATCTATTCCATATGTTGTTTTGAAACTTTCACATCTTCTATTTATATATTGTAGCATTTCTATACTTACCATTAATATTTCATCTATTACTAAGAATTTTATTGTTGAAAATTTTCTCCTATATTTATCTAATGTGTCACTTGTTAATACTGTTTGACGTTGTTATTATATTTTCTTTAGCTTTTGTTTTTCACCTGTTTTTATATTTGGGACATGCAAAAGCTGAATGTATTGTTGAACCATTTATATTACAAGTTAGTTTTCTTGTAGGTGTTGTTATTAATATTTTTTGTCCTTGGTTTATTATTTATATCTTGGTTTGTTTTATAATATTGTTTGAGTGTTTCTATAATTGTATTCAAAAGCATTGATTTTACAGTTCCTGCTCCTCCTGTTAAAAATAAGCATAACTGTTTTTTAAGTTTTTAAATTTTTTTTAATATGAAGTCATCATATATTAGTCTTTGCTTTTTATTTAGAGTTCTTAATAATTGACGGTATTTACTAATCTCCATTAGGTAATCATCTTGTATTGTAATTGTTGTATTTGTTAATAATATATCTTTAAAATTAAAACTATTTTATTGTTATATTTCATTTTGAATAAATCTTTCCCAATATCAAATTCATCTGTTTGATTTGTATTTATTTCTTGTATATATTATGCTTGTTCTTTTAATATTTTATTTTCTTCTTGTTCTGGGTTCTCCCAATGAATTTTATTCTCATTTGTTACTTTTTTATATATGTATTTGTATTGTTTTTCATCTATTTGTTCTATCATATGCATTTATGTTATGTTTTTCTTTGCTAAAGTTTATAAATTTTATTATAGTTTTTGTTTTACGTTGTTACTTCCTTTTCAATTATATATTCAGCTGTTATCTTTATTAATGTTAAGTCTTCTAATTCTTCTAATGTTTGCATATATTTTTAATTAGTTCTAGTACTGCTATATTTGCACCATATTCTTGCATTCTTGCAAGATCTTGCTTCATTTTTTTAACATTTTGTTCATTGTTCTTGTGGTTGGTATCAATGAACTTTATAGTTTTAAACATGTGATGAAATGGGATTGACAATATTTAAAAAAATGTTTATTGAATTGGCATTTCTTTACCAAGTATGAAGTTATTTCTTAATAACCAAACTTTGTTAAATACATCTATTCCTTATTCTTGACACTTTTTTTATACAGTTGAAATAGCAAATGTCTTTGTTATTTCTATTTCAATACATGCAATATATGATAAAGAATATGCTGACGCTACATATGGATTAGGAATTATTTGTACTAGTAAGGATCCCAGCTCCACTGGGAGTAATAGAGAATAATTTCAATTTGTAAAAATGTAATTGTAATTGTAACTGTTCAATCTATTTATTTAATGTACTTTAAGTACAATAAAATATAATAATGTTTAAAAATATAGATTTAAAACTCACTGAAACTATATACATAATATAAATTTTAAAAATATAAATTGTTTTATGGAGTTTAGCATATCATTAACATTAATTCTGTATATGTTTTTATATAGAGAAAATGCTTATTCATTCATTTAACTCTTATCCATTCAACTCTTATATTTTAAGTTATGAAATATATCAATTTCTATAGTCACTACTTTATTTACTTTTTAACTTTATAATATATTTTTTATTGTATCTACTATATATGATCTTTGTACAACAAAATTGTGTTTTATTTTACTATCAAATCAATCAAATACTCTTTGTTCTATAAAGGTTTAATTCTATAGATCAAAGAGTATGCTGAAATATCTGCTGGGAGATATAGCAGGCCAAAGACAAATAAATCTTCTCTTGTAATTTTACAATGTTAGAAATTTTATTGTATACAAGGTTCCTCACCTAAGCAAACTAAGAAAGGTTTTATCACCAAAATTGTGATAATATCGTCATCCAGTTTATGAGGTTTATAATGTGTTCATATGAAGCTCATTTTCCACATCTTTTAGCATTTTAAATGCCTTTGCATATGGATTAATTTCTCGTAATAAAGCATCTAATTCATTCATCAATTCTGTGTCACACTTACTGTTATATTTATTTTTCATTCTTGTTTCTGTAGCTTCTAGTGTGTCTAAATATAAAGCTGAGAATATTTTGCATCATGACCTTGCTTAGGACGAAAACTACCAATTGAATGGTATACTTGTCCATGAATTTTGAAATAATATGGTCCATTGCCAATCATTTCATCAATATTTGCCCCCATAGATGCAAATGCCAAAGTCGAATTAATTCTTTAAATTTTCCTCGTTAGTCTGTTCCATCTAATAATTTATGAATCAGTTCAGGGAACTCAATTTGTTTTCCTATAGGCACACATCCACCATGACAGCATTGTGATTGTGTTTCTGTAGCAAAAAGAAAAGCTTTACAATAGTCACAATGTTTATCCATGACTCCAATATAATTTGCTTTACATTTACCGTCTATGTTGTTTTGCAAGAGTCCTAAATATTTAGTATTTTCCATGCTTTCTGTTCCATTTCTAGGATTTACTTCATTAACAGGTAGGGTAATAAATTCAACAGTGTTTATAAAAGTGTTTTCTATGGATATCAATCTTGGAATTGTTGGGGGTTCTTCAAAGGATACTAGGTTTCTCACACTTCCATCCATGCTTTTATTCATATATAGAGATGAATTCAAGCTTGCTGAACTTCTTTTTATTATACAGCCTTCATGTAAAATTAGATCACATGTTTTCCTCTTTCTTTTGCCACCCATTGATCTATAGGAGATTTTACAATCTCTTTTAGAAATAGAAACTTAGACAGCGTGTGCAGGCTCTAGATGGTGAAAATAAGTAAATAGACAAATAGCCAGACCACAAGAAAATAGAAACACACTGAATGTTGCCCTTAGGACTTTCTAATTATCTCTCAGAGAACACAGAAACAAAATTACCTCTTGACAAATGCATAAGGCAACCTAATTGTGTAGTCCTTTTTTCTATGATTCGAAACAGCTTTTCTTAACCTATTTAGTTACACTCTCAAAAAGTTTACCACAGCTTTTTAAGGTAATATTGTGACATTGTAATAATCTTATCTAATATTGTGATAAGTGATTAGAGGAAATAACATCCCCTTCAACCACGACATCAGAAATGTGACAATTTGTTTGATTCTAACATACAGTTGCCATCATAGTCCCATAAACTAAGAGGCAATGTGATCCCAGAGCCAGCCAACGTAGATCCTAGGCTCTGCCCTTGATGCTTATGGCAATCTGCTGCAATTGGAAGGAAAAGAGAAAAAAACTCAGTTAAAACTGGATCTTACAAGTACAAAACAAAACAAAGAAAAATGCTACCTGTACACTGGTTTGGAGAGCTTG